CAAACACTCCCATTAAAGCATCAGTCAGAAAGTCTTTCGCTTTCTAATTGTGCGGGGACCAAGACAGGGGGGAGATTCTGCTCTAACCAGTCCTGTTTGCATCTGCTGGAGACCTGGGCACAAGCAGTTGTCCAGCTCAGGATAGCACTGAGGGCACATCTCTGCCAGCTCACCATCATGGGAAAGGCTTCCCATGACCTTCGCTTAAAGTATGAGGTCATGACTAAAAGCACATCAAAGGCAGCAGAATTAGACAGCATCGGATTGCCTAAAAATCAGATAATTTAAAAAATCTCAGCCCCTCTCCCAGATGAGGATGTGTATGTCCATCCAGAGCCCATACTGTAGATCCTGTGCCTAAGGGCAGCATCCTCTGTTACCTACTGCATTTCTTGGTCCTCCTCGTGCACCTGCACAACACTTTTCTAGGGATTTTTTGAATGCTTTGTATGAACTGGTGGTGATTCAGTCATCACTAGCAGGTACTGCTTTTCCCAGTGTGACATCCCAGGTTTGAAGCCAAAATAATTATAATTTTTATTCCCTTCCCTTCTAGCTTAGTTCCAGGATAATTTCTCTTTAAAGGTACTTCCACAGAGAAGAGCACTCTGAATTTTAAGTCTCCTCAAACAGCTTGCCCTGGAAAGGTTTGAGCAGCTCTGCCATGGCTGGCCAGGCTGCAGAATGTCCCAGATGCCATAAGAACCTTGGTGGGTCTGGTCCAGCTTTGAGCCCTAGTCACCAGGCCTAGAGCCCCTGTCTGGGGGGAACCTGTGCCCTGGACCCTTTGATGCCCTGTTTCTTTTAACCGTTTTTTCTCTGGGTGTCCATCCCTGGCCACCACCTGCAGGGCACTGAATTGTCCTGGCTGTCCTCATGCTTTGCAGCCCCAAATCATACTTCCCATCTGAATCCTGGGAGTCCATACATAGTTGGGTCCTTTGGGGAAGTGTTGGAAGCTGCATCTGGATACCTCCAGGCATGGTCTTTGTCCAGTGCGGTTTGTACTCAGACACAGGTCGGGGCAAGGCACAGCTCAGCTCTCACCCACTGGTGATGCCAGAAGAACACTTGCCTGTGCTGTCTGCTCCTGGTATTGCAGAGGGTTATGCCATTTGTTGGGGAATGGGGTAGGGAGATACCAGCATTTCCAAGGGCAGAAATTCCAGGGGAACTGGCTCAAGAGAAATGGTGGTTTTTTAGGGGATATGGACTGTGGAGTACAAAAAAAAGGGGGTGGGCAGGGGAAAGCACACAGACAGACTGGAGAGGCAACACAGAAGGAGTGACAAGGGAGGAGGTTTTGCAGCTCTACTCGTGCAGCAGCCATGGTCCAGCACTCTCATCCATCACAGCCTTCTAAATACAGCCATGCTGTATTAAGGGCATGCTCTCTTTATTTGCCTTCTCTTTTACTTCATTCAACCTTTGAACTCACCCTGAAGCCTCACTGTCAATTTTCTCTCTGGAAGGTGATGGTGGAGCTGCTTCTTGGATGAAAGTGGAGGGACCAAGTGGAGCTCTAGGGGTCCATGGAAATAGGGTGGAAGGGGGTGAGCTGCTGGCACAGCTCCACCACCCACACCATCAGCCTCTGCTTCCTGGGCACGTGGCCAAAGAATCACTCACCACATGGGAGATCCCTGGACCTTTTATCAGCAGCCTGTGGCCACGTGCTGCCCTTGGTAAAGTGTGGCACAGTGAGGGTAGTGTGGCCAAGAGGAGCAGAGGTTGGGTGCCCACAGTGCTGTTGCCAAATTCACTCTTGTGGAAGTGGGAAAAATATCCACCCTATTATTTGAGATTGCGCCAGGTCAGAGGTAAAATTGCTGGAGCGCTTTCATTTTGCAGTGCTCCATAACACAGCAAAATACAAGTTTAGGTGCAGAGCTGCCCAGTGGTGTGAGTTGCCATGAGAAAACCATGGGTTAGAGAGTGAGCATCCCTTCCCCTCTGTGGTGGAAATAATCTTGTGTGTGTGGTGCCCTTGTTGGGCTGAAGAGTGGAAAACAGAACTACTACTCTGAGCACAAATCCTAAGTCCCCTTTGGTGGTTGTATTTTGACCTTGTTCTGGTGGTATCAGACACAGCAGCTGTTTCCCCACATTGCAGGTGTTGTCTGTTCAGTTTGTTCCAGTGGCAGCACCAGTGTAAATCACCCGCTGGACAGACCTGGCAGGGTTCACAGAGGTCAGGTCCAGGACAACACTGGGTTTTGGTCCGCAAAGGCTCATGGAAGCACCTGCTCTCTCTGCTCTCTCTCCCATTTTAATCCCTTTATAAAATTTAATCTGCCTTTAAATTCTACTGCTGCCCTTTTGGAAGGATGAGCCCATTTTCCAAGTGGTCGTTGCACTGCCTTGTCTGCCAAGGGCAGGCATTTGTCACTGCACAAGAGTGACATCAAGAT